CCTGTACTTTGGCGAATGCTCTAGTATTTACTAGATAGGGGAGGCTGGTATATAAAAGAGGGGAATGTAATATGTGTGCGTAGATAGTGAGTAATTGATCTGCAGTCAGAAGTATTATTGAGCACGTTCGTTGATATAGCGTTGTTTAGCGCGATTGTTGAAGTTGAGTGTATCGGTAAAGTTGTATTCGGAAAGAATAAACCAGTTTTTATTAAGAAAGAACTTGTGTCGCTTAAGTTTCGTCAGAACGAAGTTACGGAAAATCAATTAACAAACGGAGACGTAACAATATTTATAATTCACATTTATGAACAATGTAATTATAGCATTGTTATCAACAAATTCAGTAATAAACATCACACTGTAGAAAGATACATACTTCCAGAAGTTCGTCTCCAACCTTGATGCGTCCATCACATGCAGCATTTCCCTGAGGATTCATACCACAGATAAATACGTTCATCTTACTCCGGTCTTTATTCCCAGCCAAACTCAGCCCGAGTCCATGAGAGCCCTTCTGTAGTTCCACCACTACTAGCTCTCCTTTAGAGTCACTGTACTTCTTGTGAATCTTTTCTATAACAAAAACAACTGGTTACTGTGGCTGCAGTTATTATTGTAAAGCTATCCATTTTTAGTGTTATTAATTACAACACACAACCAGGCTGAATTATTAGTAATTAATGGTGAGTGTATATGTGAAGTACTGCATAGTTTCAAACTAAGGGATAGAATTTTCCACAATTCTGAGTGCAGTTAGAAGGTGCATTAAAAATTGAATATAAATAAAATAATGTTTAACTGTTTTCTACAGAATATTTAATGACTGTGCTTGTTGACTGTATATGTAATACACTTTTACATAAAAATTAGTCTCAGTTGATAGCTCCTGAGAAAGTGTAATTTTTTTGTTATTATTTAAGTGGGGGTTTAATAGGAATGTTGCTATAAAAAAGATGTCAAAAACAAAATAGTTCGTGAGATATACATGTGTTTCCTTTTGCAGTTTAAAGCACTGAAAGTTTGATAAGCTCATTAAAAATAATAAAAAACACATTAAATACTATGATTTTCTTCACAATATAATAGTGGTTTAAGGATCTAACACCATTTGTATTAGGTGGCACTTCACAGAAACACTAGACAGTTATTCCTCCTTAAAAAATTATCAAAGTGTCATCTATGATTGGTTGGTTGGTTGATTGAGGCACCATCTATGAAAAACTGAGAAATGCCCTTTTTGATTTTGCTACTACATGTTTTCATGCTTTTCAGATTTCAATTATTTAAAATAACATTAAGGCATCCTGAGCTGAGTATCTTTTTTTATTTTGATATGAAGTACCAAGTTTTCACATCTAGGGTTTGGTTTGTTTTGAATTTCACACAAAGCTACTCTAAGGCTATCTGCATTAGCCATCCCTAATTTTGCAGTGATAGACTAGAGGGAAGGCAGCTAGCTAGTTAACATCACCCACTGCCAATTCTTGGGCTATTCTTTTACCAATGAATAATGGGATTAACCTTCATATCCTCATACAGATTTCTAGATTGTTTTATATCACTTTGCCTTCCAGTCTTCATGCACACTTCAAACATGAGGTGATCACTGCTGACATTACATTCCTATTCCAGGTAGAGATGCCACACAAGATGAGGTTAGCAAAAGCAAGGTCTATGCAGGAATGTCTGTCAATTTGGCACTCAGCAGTTTCTTGTTAGTTCACCTCAGTTTAGAACTATAATTTTGATGGCTATACTGTGGAGAGCTGTAAATAAACTTTTACCATTAGTATTTTTACCTGCATCCCAAATGGATGTCTGGCATTTAAGTCTCCTACTACTATTACATATAAAATCTTTTTGTCACATGTCAATCAGAAACCTCCAGTCTTCAGCATGATGTGCTGTGCTACCTTTTGTGTACACATTGACAATTTGTATTTGTGTGAGTAACTTAGAGAGTGAGTTATATGGTGACTTTTCCAGCATAATGTTCCTAGTGGATGGTGCTGTCATGTCAACTTGCGATGACTATTCCAGCCTCTGGGTGAACATGTAGTATGGACTTAATTCCAGTGAGACTGGACTCCTTGAGGTCTGAGATTTATTCATCTTAAAAGAGTGTGATATCATAAAATTCTGAGAGCTTCTCAAGGCAGAATGTTCTTCCTCTGATTCCCCAGAGGTTGCAGTTACCTATCACAATGTGTGACTGGCAGAATCTGATGCTCTTTTTTATGCATAGATCATTTAAAAATTTGATGTTTAAGCCTCAGTTTTCTTGTTCTTATTCTTCTCCTACTAGACAGTCAAGATCCCTGCTCAGTGAATTATTTCCACTGCACTGTGGGTTCCCACCTGTAACACTGTTTGTAGGTAATACATTAGCCACTTGCTGTTCATATCTCCTGTTTCTAGCCCTGTCTACCCTAGCAAAGCAGGCAGGTGACAGCAGACCAGTAGCCATTCTTGATGAGGGCACACACACTGGCCAAAAGGGGATAAAGAAAACTTCCCACCATTGAGAAGCTTCCCTCATGAAGGACCTTAAGCTGATCAGCCCTACTTATAATTGGTAAATAGGCATCTCTGTGTTGTTTCCATCCTTTAGTTAGAGAGTGAAGCAAATTGTCCTCTCTGCTTGACGATCTGTCAACCTACCCAATATATGTGTGGCACTATCTGGTACAGCTTTCAGGTCTAAAATGTGTTGTTCTTTTTTATCTCATATCAAGAGATACATACATACATCCTAATGTTGCATAAAACTAGGCTCCACTATAACTGATCTTACCAATAGATGAGTCCCTATCTCAGACTGTTGTTTTAACATATATTAAAGTTAAACTAAGCTAATTCTAACATTAGTGATAATTCTGTACTTGTACTTACAATTCAATAAACAGTAATTCTAACTGCAATTAAAACCTAACATTAGAGCTATAACCAAAATGTAGTGACACTGTACTAAGCCTATAAACAAAAGTTTTTCTTTAGAGTAAGTTCAAGACAGCTTAGATGAGTTTCTTTTATTCCTTATTTTTAACTAAATAAACTTTGAAAAAATTTTTGTCTGTAGTTTTGAAATGTGGTGCAATAAATATTGGATTATTTAGAAAATGGTAAAAAAGTGTGTTATTATAATTTCAACTTTTTCAGAGCCGTTACAATGTCACACAGTATGGAAAAAAAAAAAGGCACAGTTTTTCACCGTACCCAAGCTTAGTAATGACAAAATAAATTGATAATAAGTAAGTAAATTAAATACTATAGCATTCTAATATTATTTACTTTTCTTATATCCCTTACTTAGTGTTACATTTCCGAGATAACTCATAATGTAAATTTTTAATACCAGATCCGAAAAGAATGTTTAATAAGATTGTGAAATTAAGACACTTTCCTTGAGAAAGTGTATGTACTATCTAGCAAACCCTTGTGTGATAAAAATAACAAACACAAATATAAAACCACTCTGCATTAACCCTATTACTAAGAAAGTAAGCAGACCTGAAATACCATAGAATCTCAAACTACGATACTAGTCTTATATTTAGTCTAACATGTAGTGTACAGGTAGTTTTCTCAAATTAAGAGACTCAATGAAAGTTATCACCATAAACATTATCTGGTACCAGAAGTGGTGGATGTCATCACTAACTAAAGTGGTTGAAAAAAACATTTATTAAAATAAGCTTATTATCTATATACCCAACAGAATGAGCTGGCACAAATCATGAGATACCAGCTCCTGGTGGCAAGAGTACAATTTATTCCCTATTTTTGGAATAGCTACATGGAATAACTGGTCTGTAATGTTATCAACTCTACAATAATATTTGACATTCTAAACTGTGTCCAAGGCACTAGTTTTGTTCAGTAAAAAATAAATGATTGGTAATCTTAAACCGCTTTTATTTCATCTCATTGTGAAAATAAAAATCAATAACATTTTATGTTACAGACTATGTATGTTGTTAGTCATGTGGAATTGCACAGTCTGTGAAATAATAAAATTGCTTTAACACTCAAATATTAAGTATCATTCAGAAAATACATCTCAATTAAAAATTCTTTACACAAGAATGAATTTCAATGAGGCCATTAAGGAGCAAAAGTTAATTAAATGCTTGCTTAATGTATTACACTTCTTTTATTGATTAGATGAATTCTTTGTAGATAAATGGTGTATTTAAGTGTTTTACACTCACAAAAAGAAACCTATCATTCTATAGGTATACTATAGGTTTCTTTTTTGTGAGAGTAAAACACTTAAATACACCATTTCGATTTTCGATATTTCACTACTATAAAGGCTTGGTTTGGTCTGATATTTCATTGGTGGTAGTGTCCATGGTCACTGATGAGAAGTGGAATTCTCTGAAACTAGTCTGGCTCACAAACACCCCACCCCCAATGAAAGAATAGACCATTCCAAGCTTTTACTTGTCATTAAACAAATGTTTAAACTCCTCTATTCAACTGGATACTTTAAATGTTATTTTATGAGAAAATAATAATAAAAGGTTTCAAATTTAGTGATGGCATGTACTTTTGAACAGAGAACATTGTAAAATAGATACATACAAATTGTTTGTTTGTTTTTAATTAAGCACAAAGCTACACAATGGGCTATCTGTGCTCTGCCCACTATCGAAACCTGGATTCTAGCGTCGTAAGTCCGCAGACATACCGCTGTACCACTGGGGGGCTTATATACAAATTAATCTGACAAGTTGTACATATTAGAATGTGTGAATATGCTAAATTTCTCAATGTCTAAAATAACTTAAAAATACAACTGATAATGATAATTAGAATTCAATTAATTCATCAAGATCATGCAGCTGATAATATACATAGAATCTCGTATCTATTATGTATCCAAGTCAACATGTCACAGGGGACAATACAGTTTGGTGGATTTGATTACAAGAAGCTACTAATCAATACTGAATCTGATTAGCAATTAGCAAATATTGTTTGGCATCTTTTTAACATTCATCATTTTAACACATTATGGCAACTAAATCCAGCACTAAAAGTCTTAATTCTTTGTGAAGACATCCACTAACACGAAAGAAGTAAATGGTATGTTTTTATTCTAATAACACTTTTATTCAGCTTCAAACCCTACTAGTTAATTGTACCATACATGACATTTCATGAACAAAATAGTTCCTGGTATATAAAGTAAAACTTCAAAACTGCAACAAATACCAAACACCTCAGTTGTCACAAAATAATGCAACAATTTATTAACCAGAGAAAGAAGTGACTTGAAGATATTGCAACTGAACAAGGTTGCCACAAATCGTTTTTTCAAATTAATCTAGTTTATTTATTTATTTTTTGTGAGGCCTCACCACTCTCATCACAATATGGTATCCTTGGCTTTTTGAAGAAGAAATATTGTTACGTCTCTGTTCGTTTGTTAATTTCCCGTAAAAATTCTTT